GCAGCAGCTGTAAAAATCACGTACTTGCCGTACAATAGCTGTAGCTGCCACAATTCTCTTCACTGATGATTCGGAGAGGTGGGATAGATAGCTACGTTTTGAAAGCAGTAGCTCAGATGCACAAATGCAGAGATGTCAGTGTACTCTTCATTGGCGAGGTAGTTAGTTGGCTATGCATCCAAGACAACAGCTCGGATGCGTGACTGAGCCACGTCCGACGATTTCTCCCACCAATGGTGTTTCCTATCCCAGGGTTCCGATTCAAAGAAACGGCAGTGACCAGCTTGACTGGGTTTGCTGATAATGGCCTTCACACTTCGCTGCTAAGCCATCTTTGACTTCTACATGGCTCTTTCTCCCCTTCGCAGGGTTGTGCAAAAAGGGCCATTCGAGAAAGTCGGTCACCTAGTATATGGAGCCAAGCCGGTACAACCCACCGGGTGTGATCAGTTCATCTATAACCAGCGAGTTATTTCCTCCGAAAACTATCCAGCGTACTTCAGTACTACTGATCCGATGTTCCCATCAGACTCGGACAATGCTCCGAAGACATCACCGGTCGAACACTGAAAGTCTCTCGACGTCCATGGTGTGCAGTAGCCAGCTTTCCGACCCGTATAGTGATATGGAGCGCTCCGCAGCATTGTGAACTCAACTCTTGATGGATAAGCTGATGTCACACCTATGCCACAGGTGACGCAGTTTCACAAAAGCTGCTCTGGTTTTCTCACTCTTGATAAAAATAACATTTTTTCGCTAGAACACCGGGGCTGATACAGCTGCCCAGGTAGACAAATTTGCCTACTACTTTAATGTTCTCATCCGAAACCATGAGGCTAGGGTTCCAGCCCACTCAGTCATGCAGTGATACTCTACACTTGCAAGTGTGAGGTATATACCGAAGTGTGAGGCAGAATTACTTAGACTATTTGATAAGGTCTTCATTAGTTGACCTCATATCCAAGAACAGCTATGTGCCGTCTGCATACTCGACACCTGTGAGTCTCGGGAGCACTTTGACTCCACGAGCATTAGAAGCTGGTAGTGGGTCTTTCATTATCATTGACGAGGAATGGTGAAAGAGGAGAGCTTTGCGCTTTTTCAAGTGAACTCAGAGGAAAGCTGCCCGGAGACCTTCACACGTCTATGAGGGTTGACGTAAAACGTAAAGGGTCAAGAATTCATGTGGGACACCTCTGCTCCGTAGACACTACCATTGCGCCTGACGGCTCAAAGACAGCATTTAAATCAAGGAGACAGTGCGTCGCTGTTTCAGTAACTGTCGGAGAATGAAGATGTGATCAATACATCCTCTTGCAGGACGGAATCCAGCTTCGTTCTCAAGGATTTGCCTCCCCCTGTGTTCAGCCAATCTTCAAAGGCCAAGACCAGAGGGCACCATGGGTGCCACAGCTATCAAAATACTACAAAATAGTGTCCAAAAGTCGATAAACGCATATTTTTTTATTTGTTTTGCCCAGTTAAATACTGTTTAGAAAAAATTATAGTTCCTGTGGAAGTTTTGGGAAACGATTTCACTCTTTTTTGTGACGGGAGTAGATGTCGAAATCCTCTGGACCGAAGTTCTGCCAGCCACAAAATACTCAACAAGTTCGTCTTAAAACATATTCGATCACTACTAATCCTCGAATGTGGTGGGTATTGTGTTCCACAACAGTTTTTGGGTAGCATCATACAGATGTGTCTTCTTTAAATGGGACATTTTCTGAGGAAAATTAGGTGAAGAATTCACCCTGTTTGATATAAACAATTAGACAACGATTCATTCGCTTCGCACCGATTGAGTAAAACGCATGACATCACATGAACATGCCCTGAGGGCACGCTATGCTCAAGCAAGAAGCCACAAACACTAAACAGCGTTCATTTATTCCCGCACACAGGTTCTCACACACGATCGTTTTTGGGTTCCAAACCACCGTGCAATCCGAAATCGCCCCTTCGCAGCGCGCCTTTCCTTGGCAAACCGATATCTTCAGCACGGAAGCTACAGAGATGTTATGTACATACACAGTTCATCGAGGCCGATTGTATCATCCATTACGTTGATATGTAGAATACCCCACGTTTTTCTGTCCATATTTGTAACCCACGCCCCATTTTTGTGTTTAGTGCGCGTATATGAAGTGGTGTTTGTTTGTCCTTACCACTTCACTCATTTGGACTTGAGGTCATCCAGTCATTTGTGACCGACTTTGTGCGCGTGTGACTGTCTCACGTGGGGGCGTGTTTGCTCATTCGGATCATACTTTTCAAGTCCAAGTGGACCATTTGTTTTCGACGAGTTGCTACTGTCAAGTTTTGTACAGTTACGAATTCGTCTTACATTAATAGTACCGCATAGAAACCCAGCTCGGATTTTGTTTTGCCTTCCCGGAGGTTCTGGTATTACGCGTCACTCGAAGATAGCGTTTGCCCGTTATATCGATCGTTCTCGTTTGTACTTTGTTGAAGTATTCTCCGTCACGGCCAGTCTCTGTTTGTATTTTTCAGGCGTCTGTGAGATACTTGTTGTTACTTTACTTGTCCGAAGTCAGTCTGCCTTTTCTATCCGAGCAACAATCGGTTGTCATCCTGAAATAGTGGTCTGGTTGTTGTCTGTCCCGGGCTTTTTCAAGTTTTTATCACACACATTTCGACTGAGACAAGTTAAACCAATAGTTAGGTACTCCCAACAGTGAGTAAAAAATCCAGTGACCACATCACTCTAAACTGTTTGACTTGTTTGCTGTTTTTGTCTGAAAAAGGTCACCCTGGTCAGTCACTGTTTTAGACTTTGTGCCTTAAATCAGCCGACTGCAAGGTTTTATTGTGCCGAAAGCAGACCACTGATCTGTCTACTGTATTCCTAAACAGTAGTACATAGTGTCTGGCCCCGAAAAGGTGGAAGATCTTGCACGATGACTTCATTCATCTGCAGAAAACAATACTGCGCTCAACGTCATTCACTTGATTAAACCGTTCAACCTTAGCCACGACAATATTTCACAGGATTTTATGGGAAGCAACAAGAAATATCGTAAAATGCATCACTTGCTACTTGTTTTTTCTCACTTAGTAGTAGATAGTGAGCACATAGCCCAACGGCTTTTTGAACCGGGACCAGTTGTGCACACATATCAAACTTGGTCATGTTCCAAGCGTGAAGTTGTGATACGGCTACACGTAATATTTTTGCAGAGCGAAAATACTCAGTATGATAAAAAAACAATTGAATAAAAGTGATATATCCGTGCAATATTTAGAAACCATTTTGTACCATTCTACGCCTTTGATCGCATGAAAAACAGTGTGCGAAAAGCATGTAAAAATGCTGACATGATATGCTTTGAACATGTTTGTGGTCTAAGGCAACAAACCCAACTCAGACAGCCTGCTTGAAAATGAAATTGGGAAAAATAAGGCAAAATTAGAAGAAACGCATACGGCCAATATCATCCCGCTAAATTAGTCCTGATGGTGCGTATCAC